AAATAATTACAAACTATATTGCTTATCCATTTGGTGAGTTGATGGTGGCGAGGTGGCCTTGGTGAGTTGGCTGCAGTGAGTTGTCTCATTTCGCTCCCTAGACTTTCCCAGGATATATCCCTTAGAGTGAGAGTAGTAAGGGTTCAGTCTGGCATCTATTGTGTGTAAATAAATAAAGAACTGAACTCTAGCTGAATTCTTCTATCTCATAGTTGGGCTTTGCTTGACATTAGCACCTTAATAAAAATGTAGAACCCAGGGTTCAAAACTATCAATAGTTAATATAATTCGATTCTTTATTCTTTTGTCCATATATGCATAAGAAAAATATCTATAAACCATAGACTGGTAAAGAAAATCAAGGAAGCTAAACTTTACTTTTTATGCATGGTTAAGAAAGTATATTTCAAATTGCAATTAACTTTTGGTAACATTTTAGCATTAGAAGAGATAATGTCACATTTGTAACTAATACCTGAACCCAGATTTTCACAAAATACCTCACATAATCTCAATTACTTGAACAAGTGCCTGTTGTGTATTCATATCAGCTGAACCCAGGAGAAGAAGCATGTGCATGAACAGATGGAACGCTTCAATTTGGATGATTATGAAAAACTGATAGAAATATGGAGTGTTCCTCAAAAGTATATTCATGAAAGACAGCATGTCCTATGTCACATAGCTTTCCCTCCCCCCCCCCATTAATTGGCACTGAGGGGTCCTACAATTTATTGCTACTTACATGCTAAGCCAAATAACATTGAAGTAGAAGTTACTTATCTTGGAAAGCAATAGTGTGATGAAGGCAATTCATAGTGTACTAGAAAATGAAAAAGCATGATCAGTTTCTGTGTTTTCCTGTATCTTGGCTATTACTTGCCATTCAAAGCTGAACAAATAATGTCTGAGAAAAAGAGAAATGCAGATAAATATGCACAATGAGAGAGATAGAAATTATCTGGGATACAACACCTTATAATTAGAGGCCTAACATCTTTTGACAATTTCAATAGAGAGAAGAATGTGTCATGTAAACCCTGACTAAAACTCAAAATTGTATGTTGGGCTGCTCCAGTCTGAATGTCAGTCCTATAAAGTTAAAAGCTCATTGTATGAAAAAAAAGATGAAGTTTCAGTAATTTTTTTAAAAAAGAAACCAAAATGCAAGTGACACTGTTCGACTATATAAATCACTCATGTAGTCATTTCCCTTTAAACCTGCTAGGGGGGATTTCTTAACGCTGTCCTGGTAGTGCAGTGGTTAGAATGCAGTATTGCAAGCAAACTCTGTCCGCTGCCAAGAGTCCGATCCTGACTCAGCCTTCCATCCTTCTGAGGTCAGTAAAATGAGGACCCAGATTTTTAGGGGTAATATGCAAATAATGTCGACATTGTAAACCAGCCAGAGTTCTGTAAAGCACTACAGGATGGTATATAAATCTAAGTGCTATTGCTATTAGCAACTCAAGAAGAAATGCTTCTTGGTAATTTATACTCCTTCTTCAATGATTTATCTACTTATCTACCTCTGTATCTATTTAAGATATCTGCCACCTATTCACCAGGCTCTAGGTAGCTACAGATGTGGAAAAAAGATATTATGGAAATAATTTCCTATATTTTATAGCAGAGGTCCCCAAACCCCAGGCCACAGCCCACTACTGGGCCTTGAGCCATTCAGAACTGGACCATGGAAGTGGTGGGCCCGTGTGCGCACATCCCACTTGCACGAGCATAATCATAGACTGGTAAGAAAGTAAAGGAAGCTAAGAGAGAGAGTGAGAGAGAGAGACAGACAGACAGAGAGAGACAGAGAGAGGGAGCTTGTCTACTGCTTGTGCGGAACCATCCCCTCTCTCCCCTCCTCAGCTGGTCCACAAAACCAGAAAGGTTGGAGAACTTTGTTTTACAGTATCAGGAGACATTTGAAAGGCAACTTGGAGTTTTTCTTTGCACCTTTGAAAATACCTTTGAAAAATTTATCTTGTTTAGATGTTCCATGTTTCATTACAATGCTATTTAAAACCATGCCTATTTCTAAAACCTAAATTGAGAAATAAAAGTTCAAACCTGAGATTTTGAAGACTTCAAAAGGCATTCAAATTGAATACTTCTTTTTCAGAATACAGTTAAGGCACCAGGGTACAAACCAACGGAATGGTACCTTAAAGATGAAAGCCATTTGGGTGACTTTCGGCAGTCACTCAACCTTAGCTAAGTATTAGGCATGTTTGTTACCTAGAGTTATTTATAAATTGTAATAGATAGGATAAGGAGGGAGGGAGAGAGGAAGGAGGGAAGGAATGAAGAAAGGAAGGAAGGAAGGAAGGAAGGAAGGAAGGAAGGAAGGAAGGAAGGAAGGAAGGAAGGAAGAAGACTCTGCAGAGCCCACAGATTTTGAAGAAAGGATGAGGACAAAGCAAATGCAGTCTGATAATGCCCAGTAGAAAACCTTCCAAGTTAAAGAACAGTAATACAAAAAGACTGGCAATTGTGAGAAAATCAAAGTTATCTTGAGCTCCTGAATAACTATTGTTCTATTAATGTATCAAAGGCATTCATTAATTGAATTACACTAGAAATAATCACTAGATTTGAGAAAAGGTACCAAATGAATGTTGAAAGTATCTGCTTTTTTCAGCTTTAGAAGTTTGAGATTCAATAGTTATGTAATTAACTGTTTATTTAACCTACGAGATTCACTGCGAAAGATGTAGCAATGAACTCCATTTTTATGACCCTATAATGATTACGTTAATTTATTAAAGGTCTGGCAAAACCTACAACAGTTTTTTAATACAGTGAATATAGTTTTTACCAGAAAGGAAGATTTATTTTTTGTTTTTAATGGGAAATTATCCATAACTTTGTGTCACCCAGTGACTAGCAACCTATTTCCACAATGCCATAAAACTGTTGACTGCCTAGACTAGTTCCTGCAGTTTTCTTGACAAGATTACATAGAATCCTAGGGCTGGAAGAGATCTTGGAGATCTAATCCAACTCCTTGACCAAGGCAGGTGACCCAGATAAATGGCTATCAAATCTTTTCTTGAAGACCTGGATGGTGTATGGAGTACCCACAACTCCAGGAGGAAAGCTTTCCATTGATTAATAGTTCTGTCACAATTTTTTTCCTTAGTTCCAGGTTGAATCTGCCTTTAACAAGCTTCCTCCCATTGCTTCTTGTCCTGCCTCAGATGTTTTGGAGAATAAGTTGACCTCTTCTTTGTGACAACTACTCAAATATTGGAAGCAACTACCCTGTCACCCCAATCTTTCTCTTCGTTAAACATATGTGGTTTTCTAAACCATTCATTGTAAGTTTAGCTTTCAGACCCTTTATCATTTTTGTTGCTGTTCTCTGCACTGTTTCCAGGATCTCAACATCTTTTTTGTATCATGGCAACCAGAACTGGATGCAGTTTTCCAGGTGTGGTTCACTAGTGTAATATAAACTGGTACTATCAATTCTTGTGATCTTGATGCTATCCTTCTGTTAATGCAGCCTAGGACTGCATTGGCTTTTTTGGCAACTGCAGCACAGGCCATTGCCAGCTTATATTTAAGTGGTAGTCCACTAGTTGCTACTGTTGAACTGGGTATCACCTGTTCTATATCTATGCATTTATTTCTTTTGACCTAAGTGTAGTATTTTATTTTTCTCACTTGTTGGATAGGGCCCTATGTGCAAGTCTGCCAAGATCCTTCTGAACCTTGAGTCTTCCAAAGTGTTATCAATTTCCCCCTGATTTGTCTGCAATTTTGATGCAGTCCCCTTCTATCCATCTAGATAATTTACGAAGATGTTGAAGAACACTTGGTCCAAAACAGACCCTTGAGGTGTCCCACTGCATGCTTCCCACCATGTAGATGCTGAGCGAGAGTGACTGGGCTAAGGGGCACTTAGTTGGCTTCCTGCCTAAAGCGGGACTAGAATTCACAGTCTCCTGGTTTCTACATTGGTGCCTTAACCACTACACCAAACCACAATATGGCCTTAAATCCAACTGATTTCTCGGGGATTGGCTTCTTAGGAAATATACATTATATATTCTTTGCCCTGAATTTCCTGCTGAACAACTGCATAACATGAAGTTTTGGTATTATGAAAGAAAAAGCCAGTATCTCAACATTTTTTCAAAAAAGATATTTTTATACATCTATATCATGTTTCCATTAGCACTTCATTCCCTACATTAGAAATGCTTCAGCCTTTTTTTTATTAGAGAGGGTGTGAATTTCTTGATTACTTAGGTTGCATCCTTACTGTTGAGGGTAGTAATGTGAATGCTGATGATATCATGAGCTATTTAGGTATCTCTTAGGAGACTCCCAAGTCATGGATTAGCCAGAAGGAACTGAAAGCATAGGAAAGCTACTTTATTCTTGAAGTATAACAGAAGTATAACAGAAATAGTTCTTGGTCCACAGGGTGAATACTTATTTATTTATTTATTTATTTTTCATATTTGTATACCGCCCTACTCCCGAAGGACTCAGGGCGGTGAACAGCCATAATAAATACAAATACATATAGAAGTTAAAAACTATTTAGAAACAGATTAAGTAATTTAGGCTCAAAGATTAAAAAACATCCAAATTTATCTAAAGAGGTTTAAAACCCAATTTAAAAGCCAGTTTAAAAGCCAATTAAAAAGGGAGAGTTAGGCCAGACCAGCTTGTTGGAATAGAAATGTTTTCAGGGCACGGCGGAATATGCGTAAGTCTTGGATGTTTCGTAACTGGGGGAAGCCCGTTCCAGATGGTAGGTGCCCCCACAGAAAAGGCTCTCCCCCTGGGGGCCGTCAGTCGACATTGTTTGGCCGACGGCACCCTGAGGAGTCCCTCTCTATGGGAGCGAACTGGTCGGTGAGAGGCTATTGGTGGCAGGAGGCGGTCTCGTAAGTACCCTGGTCCTGAGCCATGAATACTTGCCAAGTGGAAGGTGATTGCTTTTTACAGACTTCTGTAAAAGTTATTGTTCCTACCTTAAAAGTTCTGTCTGTTATTCTGGAATAAAGAGCAGGTCCCATAGTTCATGAGTGGAGAGCCTTCAACCATAAGACCATATGTAGCCTTCAGTTTAATTTCAGGGATCTTTCAGACAATATCGAAAGTCTGAAATGAACTTAGTGAGCAGTCTTGATCTTAGTGAACTCAATGAGTAGTAGGCACCCTGTTGTTGGGGCTAATTTAAGGATGAATAAACATGAACAATGTGTGTTGGCCTACATACAGTATTTAGTCTCTCCTAATTCAGGCTCCAAATGGGGTAACTGAAGGCTTAGTAAACGAGATTTTTCAGACCTAATAAGAGGAAATCTTAAAATGCTGGGTTACTATTGGCAGAAGACGAGCCTGCAACAAAACTACCACGAAGTGAGAGAAAGGGTATTATCATTCGGGAAAAGAGGCAGGCGCAACGGCTAAAATCAGAAACCGGGGAGCAAATCCGTTTACTGAACGTGCTCGTTCATCCAGGGCGTGGAGGTGGGAGATGGATTGACGGAGTGGCTCTACTCTCAACGGTGACAGGCACTGTTACCTTCCCATTTTCCCCAGTTTTGCAACATCTCCCTTCAATTTTTTTTTAAAAAAACTTTTCAACATGGTTACAAAGCGCGCAGAAGCCAGCGGAGGTGTCTTCTTCTCCTTCTCGACGTCGGTGAAGTAATCGAGTTTCCGTTTCAGCAGAAGAGGAGCTCTGCCGGCTCCTCGTTCCTCCTGGCATCTTCGATAAGAAGAGGGACGTTTCCTGTTATGTGCTCGGGACCTTGGCGTTCAAGTCTGCGACGCCAAGCCCCTTTCCTGGCGGTAATTGCTCCGGAAAAGGCGAGCGGTGCGGTGGGGGGGGGGCGGGGAGAGGAAAGCGAGCGGCAACGTTTCTGTGGAGCCAAAGGGGGGCGTAACAGGGAGCCGGGCCCCGGCCGCGGCGGCTGCTTCGCTATTCCGGCCGAGCAGCCTTTGGGCAACCGGAGCTGGCTCTGGTCCCTCGCGCGGACGCTTCCTCTGGCCGGCGGCTTTTCAGGAAGGCGCCGAAGACTTGCGAAGGTGCAAGGCGTTCCTGGCGGGCCGGAGAGCCGCTGGGGGGAGTCTCCCGTTGGTGAGCACCTCTCCAGCCGCTCTCTTTCCTGCCCGCCCAAGAGGCGGGGACAGGCGGGCAGAAGGAGCCGAGCCGGGCTAGTTTGCCACTGAGGGCGAAGGCTCTGGGTCGGAAGGATTCGTCTGCGCGGGGAAAGAAAGCGGCGGCGACCATGCCTGGCAGCGATACCGCCCTAGCTGTGGACAGGACTTACTCCGACCCGGAGCGGCACCCTCGCTTCAAGTCCCGGGTAACTGCGCTTCCCCTCCGCTGCCTAGTCTGTCCCAACTCCTGTTCCCTTCGAGGCTGCCGGGTGAACAACTCCCCACATTCCTCCTCCTGCCTTTAATTCGGGACAACCTCGCCCGCCGGGGCTGCCTCAATCCTGATATCGAGCGCGCTTCCTTCTGACCTGCCTGCCTTCTGCTCTGCTCTGTGGCCTCCGGGTTGCTGGGGTTGCCGTCGGTCAGCGTCCAAAAGAGGCTCCGGTCAGCATGTGGGGGTGCTTCTGGGGTGCTTAGCGAGTCGGGTTTCTGCTCGCCTTCACGGGCGAGCGGCTGCGCGGGATCCTGGGCCATCAGCATTGCGCCGCTGTTGTTGCCTCCTAGCTCTGTGCATTTCGGACGTTACAGGCACTCACTTTGCCGGCCCGGTGTAAAAACAGCTAAAAATAAATTGGAGAACCTCAGGAGACCTTATTTCCTCGCCTTTAAGGTTTCGATTTCAGCGCTCTGCATGTGCTGAAGTGGCCAAAGTATCCTGAAAATTAACTCCCTGAGTTTCACTCTCTCCTCGCCCCTTTAGTCTCTTATGTCTGGCTAGGAATCTGCATTCTGCAGGCATTTTGTAATGGGCTTTAATCAGAGGGGAATGATTTGTGGTCCTTAACGCCTTCAGAAATTGTAAGCTACTTGAATTGTAATGGGGAGAGAGAGAATTTATAAAATAAATGTAGAGTAATTGTATTAATTGACTTCATTTTAATTATTTAATTATTTATTTTAATTATTTTTTGTGTCCGGTGACAAGCGCATTTTCAGTAGCCTCACTTTTCTTTGAAAAACATAAGGTCCGGTATGGCTTTCCACTGAAAACAGTTGTCCATCCCTGCTTTAGCTGACAGTGTATGACAATTTCAAACACTGAAATATCTGACCTGGTACTCATGGAATGCAGGGCCAGAATGGATGTGATCTGTGTGATTGAAATGTGCCAGCTTAATTCAGATTTGACCAGACCAGGGGCATCTTGGGTGGGGTTAGGGGTTAAACTTCTCCAATGCCATTTTTGAGAGCTTATTTGTTTTTGCAAACACGAACCTCTCTGGGAATATTTTAGAATAAGAAAATGGAATGAAGAGATTAAATCTGCCTTTCCTAATGATGACATCATAATAAATACTGGAAAATGTTCCCAGGACTTATTGAAAGTAAAGATGAGGAATCCAGCGATGCCATTCCTACTACACAGTCACTGACAGTGATTTTTGCAGCCACATGCTGTTTCTCAGAGATTATGTGCAGTGATTTTTCCATAAATATCGTGAGACAGCAGTGAAATAAACATTCCTAAAATCAGTAGTAAAAAGCAAGCTGCTGCTCTCCAAATATGTTAGCCTGTAAGCATTTCCCTACTGCTCAGTTGAAATGCTATCGACCTATCCTTGAATTAGCAGAAAATCAAATGGGCATGAAATTTGCTTTCCACAGTACCAATCCTCTCCTGCTTCTGTTTCATGTCAGTGCAGTCGTCTGACTTCCCTTCAGGGTGTGGGTTGACATAGAGTAACAGATTTGATTCACTCTGAAGTTGTCCTTGGACAGTGATGGAATAAGAGGAAAGATGGTACTTCAACACCATAACAGCTCAGGACAACTTAAAGCTGTCATGCCCATGGGCTGGCCCTAAAATGAAAGAAACTTCATAGGGATATGGCAGAAATGTTGTAAAATTACTGAAATATCCACTCCTTAGAAGTATCCACTGAAAACAGCTGTCCATCCCTGCCTTCAGCTGACAGTGTATGACCATTTCAAACACTGAAATATCTGGCTGGTACTCTAAGAATGCAGGACCAGCCAGAATCCTGCTTATCATCTGCATGCTAATTAAAACCATATTGTTTGAGCTTGCTTGTTGGAGTGCTTTGGCTTTGAGTTGCTTCTGGGCCTTATTATATCACATGTTTTACTTGATCTTGGTTCTCTGTATTGTATGCTTTAATTTATTGTTAATTTATTGTTATATGTTAGAATTGGGATGAGATTTAAGTAGTGGAAATAAATTAAAAACAAATAGCTAATGTAAACATTACATGGAAGTAGTAGGAAGTATAATGGGCTTAGAGAACAACCATGGGAGACCAGAGGAAGAACCAAAGCCTACACGATGGTCTGATAAGAGAAATCTGAGTCCAAAGGAAGGATGAGGGACGAGAAAGTATTTCAAAAAGTGAAATCAGGGAAGAGGGGGAAGTGCTTTCAGACTTGCAAGATTCTGTTACTGTAACTTTACAATAAAAGTAATATTAGTACTCATGGTTCTGACTTCCTATCTGGACTATCTTGAAGGGCTGACACAATCAAATTTTTGTTCTGCTGCCAAGTGCCTATATTTCATGTTCCCTATCCCTGCAGATTTGCTTTAATGGGTCCCAATCCCTCTGATGCGGTTTGGGGCATGCAGATCCCCAAAGTGAGAATCCTCTTGTGTGAATAAAAGGGAACTCTTGCTTATTGATGGATATTACACAGAAATTTAAAGAGAATATAGAATATCTGTTCTTCAGTAAGCATTGCTTTATTAATTAATTGATTACATACTATCAATTTTTAATGACCAGATAGATTTTTTTAAAAGGAAAAATCTGTCACATTTCTTCCAACAGGCCGCTCATTGCCAATGTAACTCAGTCTTACTGCTGTTTGTCTTCTCCTCTCCTCTCCTCTCCTCCCCTTCTCTTCCATCTTTCAAGCACAAGAGCTACATTTTCGCATAATGTGCAAAGTATGGTAATTTGAGGCTGGTCATTTGTGCCTCAAGAATTCTGGAGTGATCTGTTCAATTATCCATTTCTTTGTTTTCTTGGCTGACCACCATATTCTTAGGAGTCTTCTCCAACAATAAAGTTCCAGAGTGTCAATACTCTTTCTAGTCTGGTTCTCCAAACTCCATTTTTCATTTCTGTAGAAGGTCACAGGGAAAACTGTTGCTTCATGATTCTGATCTTTCTAGATGTGACAGATCACTACTTCTGAATATCTGTTTCCAAAACTTTCTTTGTTATTCTACAAAAATAAAAGGAATAAAATAATACAATATTATCTATTTTTTCTTGTATAGTTTAAATAAGTGATAGTTTAAATACTAATGTGAAATAACCCTAAATTGGAGAAATTTGAGATTTGGAGAAAAGCTTGGACTAAGATTATATTAGCTAGCATTTGCTTCACTCCTCACTGCAAATGGAGCAAAGGCTTGATTTCTCAGTAGGTAAAACTATGTTTAATAAAAAGAAAATAATAACTTGTTTATTTACATAAATATTTTGCCTGATCTATGACTTTTTCTGAAATGAGGCTACTGCTTCAAAATAGATGAATTGCACAGCTTGAAACAATGCTTGGATTACTTATCTGTGTTGGGAAAGGTTAAGAATCTTCCTTTTCTGAAATGTTAGTATCTCCCTTTGGGCCTTCCATTTCATTCATATACACTTATGGATAAGCAAATACTTCCTTACAATTAAATATTTAAAATAAACTCATTTGCATGCCTTTGATATTGGCACATTACCTTAGTAGAATCTCTACTCCCTGTGTACAATTAAATTATTCTGTAATGAAATTAATATATTTTTTTAACTTTACCTAGGAAATATATAGATTATGTTGGTGGGAAGTATTTAATATGTCTACTACTTTCATAGTTCCTGAGATTCTGTCCAAGGATATTATCCATAGTGGAGAGGGAAGTTATTGCTTTAAAAAACTGGATAAAATGAGTTATTCTTCTTGCCAGCTTCATATTTATGAGAAGCCCTATCATACTATTTCTTAATTTATGTAAATGGAATTTCTGTGTAACAAGATCTTGGCACAGAGAATATTGTGCTCATGCTTTTTTGAAATGATGAGATGACAGTCCTAATCTTACTTTCCAGAGTAAAAGCTATTTTTGTTTAGAAGGAAGGGTTATGGAAATTAATAGGCAAGACACACAAGAAACCTGCTAACACAGATATGTGATCCAAAGAATTAGAAATCAAACATCTTCCAGGTGGAGTAATGGAAGAATCCAAATGTTATTAACATTATCGCCAGATTGATAGATGAATATATAGTTTCAACCTACCCATAACCACTGTTGTCAAAATACATATTGCAGCTGTTCCTATTGCTTGAAAAGATATCTCTTTTTAAGAGACAGCCAAGAAAGTTATATTAGGTATTGTTGATATAATTTATAAGAACTATTTATTATCTGTCTATTATGTTACACAATATTCCAGTTCTTCATTTTAAAACTAAGATTCTGTTTTGCCTTCTTTTGGTGCGCACTTGTTGAATCATTCATGGTTCCAATGAACTAAATTTTAAAATATTCACTTCATCAGTGCTTTAAAAAAATTTTTTCTAATTAATATAATAAAATATTAATTGTAGGACATAGATTAAATAAGAACCTTTTACATTACTACATAAGGACTGTTAATAGATGCCAATAAAACATA